TTTTATTTCTGCTATGATTGGGGTCTTTTAAAATATAATTTTAATTTTGTTATTGCTGATACTAGGAATGAAATGGATGCATGTATGTTGATTTCACATCAATAATTTTGTTACATTCTTATTAATTCTAGTAATAACATCTACAAGTTCTCTTAAATGTTTTAATAAAATTACTGTATCATTATATGAGTACCATGTGGGGATTTTAAAATGTGCCTACAGATGATTTGCTGCACCTCCTCTGAAGAGTAATTTAAACTCCTCTCTCTCGTGGCAGATTTACTAATCGTATCTAATAAACAGAATATGGTGAAAGTGGCTTCGAAGGTTATGTCACAAAAGGCACTGCAGATTCCTCCTTGATCTCTCCTTTACCACCTGATGTGAAAGAGCTTGTCTACCATGTCATGAGGACACTCAAGTAGTACTTCAGGGAAACTCTTGCTGTGAGGAACTGAATCTTCTTGCCATTGGCCAGCAAGGAATTGAAGGTTAATCGTGCATTGATTTTGAAAGTTAATAATTATCACCATTTTTAGCAATAGTGTACTTATTTTATCTATACTAGTTATTGATAAAATAATCCAAGTCAAGTTGCTAAACAGCTGAAGTTAGAAATAAAAATTATTTACTGTGGGAAGGACTACCATGCTTTCAAACAGTGTTTTGCAGTTCTAACGGGGATTGAATTCAGGCCTCACTGCTTGAGCCACATCCCAGTCCTTTTGCTTTTAGTTTGTCTTTTAGATTGGGTCTCACACTAACTCCACCCAGGCTGGCCTTGAACCACAATCCTCCTACCTCTGTTTCCCGAGTAGCTGGGATTACTGACATGTACCACCAGGCCCAGCCCTCAAATAATTTATGTGTGAAAGATTTTACAGCTAACTTTTCCCAAAGACTTGTCTACATTTACATTCTCTAATTTCTCTCCTCCTATGCACTATTAAAACCACACCCATCAGGTTTTTTCCCCTCACTACTCCCTTGAAAGGAATCTTACAAGGTCACCAATGATCTTTGTATTTTAAACCCAATAGTCATCTCCTAGTCTTCATCCTACCTGACTCATCAAACCAGCGAGAGAAGATAGTTGATCACTTGCTCCTTGAAATACTCTCTTAGTTTGGCCTTCAGCATTCCACACTCCCTTTTTCCTCCTACCTTAAAAAGCTTCTCCTCCCCAGTGTCCTTTAATGCTCTTTATCACACCAATCTCTGAATACAGACAGCCCCACAGCTCAGTCCTCATTTCCTCATATTATATCTCCCAGTCTCATGGCTTTAAATACCAAATACCAGGTGGTATTTGGACGTAAGTTGTTCCCCCGGAAGACTCCTACATTGAAGGTTTAATACCCAGATGATGATGCTATTTTGGGAAGTTCTGGAGACTTGAGGAGGTAGAGTCTAGCTAGAGGGAAGTAGGTCACTTGGGGAGCAGGGAGCAGTCCCTGAGGGCTGTATCTTGTCCTAGGCCCCTCCATCTCTCTGCTTTCTGTCTACTATGTGTAAGCTTTGCTGTATGCTCCCACCGACATGATGTTCTGTCTCACCACAGACTCAGAAGCAACAGAGCCAAGGACTATAGTCTGAAACTGAGGCAAAACAAATCTATCACCCTTTAACTTGTTTAGGTAAGGAATTCTGCCACAGAGACAAAAGGCTAACCAATACACCACCTTTCTGCTAATGACTACCAAATTTCTGTTTCTACTTAAATCTTTCCCTTAAACTCCGGATTCCTGTTCCACATACCTCCCTAGAGTCATGCTTCACTTCTTTACTTCCCTCTTTTTTCTTTTCTTGGTGGTATTGGGGTTTGAACTCAAGGTCTCCTGCTTGCTAGGCAAGTGCTCTATCACTTGAGCTATGCCCCCAGTCAATGTTACATTTAGTCCATCAACAAATCCTGTCAGCTGTTCCTAGAATATGACTGTTTCTTATTACAGTAGTCCCTCTATCCATGATTTCGCTTTCCATGGTTTCAGTTACCCGTAGTCAATCATGGTCTGAACTATTAAATGGAAAATTCCAGAATTCCTAAGTTTTAAATGTGACATTCTGAGTAGTATGATGAAATCTCAAGCCATCCTGCTCTTTTCTGGCCTTGATGTGACCACTCCTTTGTCCAGTGTGTCCAGCGTATCCACTTTTAATATGCTACCAGCCTTTAATCCTGGTTATCAAGTTAAGTGTCTCAGTATCAGTGTTGCAGTGTTGGCGTTCACGTAACCTTTACGTAGAAGCCTATGCCACAATGTCTGTTTTTCACCCACTTTTTCTCATCTTGTAGGCATTGTATCATCTCCTATCACCGCAAGAAAGGTGAGTACAGTATAGTATTTTGAGAGAGACAAAGATCATATTCATATAACTTGCATTGTAGTATAATGTTATCATTTTTCTTTTATTATTGCTGTTGTTAGTCTCTTACTGTGACGAATTTATAAAGTAACTACATGGTACACTGTTTATAGGGTTTGGTATTATCCAAGGTTTCTGGCATCCAATGGGGTTTTGGAAGGAACCCCCGTGAATGAGGAGTACCTGTGGTACCTCCATTACTACTGCCTGCCTGAGTCACTACTATCACACAGATTATTGCACCAACCTCCTAACTGGTCTCTCTGCTTCCATATGTGCTCTTAGTCAATTCTGAACACAGCTGTAAGACTGATCTTTCAAAAACATTATGTCAGAGTCCATCATTTCTCTGCCCAAGTCCCTCTGATGACCTCCCTCCTTATTTGGAGTAAAAGTCAACATTCTTACTAGGTCTCATTAGGTCTCTGACCTCATCCCTTTTTTGCCTTTCTCTCTGTTCAAATTCAATGGGCTCCTTGCTGACCTTCCAACAAGACTGGCAGTTTCTGGCTTTTGCACTTGCCTGGTATGCTCCTCCCCTTGGTAACTACATGATTGTCCTGCATTCCTTCAGTTTTACTCACAAGAGAGTCCTCCATGGCACTGATCCTTATTTTAAAACTGCATCTGTTCCTTACCTGGTACTTCCTATCCCCCTCCACTGCTTTATTTTTCTTCTTAGTAATCATTACCATTTAACTGGATATATTTTAATTTTAAAAAATTATTGTGTTCATTGTCCCCACTGTCTTCCAGTGAGATGTTCACTCTATGAGTACAAGGGCTTTGTCTTGGTCACTCATATATCCTGAGTGCTTAGAACAGCACCCAAGTATGCAAGGTAATCTGTATATATTTGCTGTATGATGACTGCAAACTCTTAAATCCTGAAAAGACTAAGAGGCTTGGGGCACTATAATATCCAACCTCTTTTCACAATAAGAAACAATTTCCATTCTAATGATGATAAAAACTGTGGAAATCCTGTATCTTTCGGAGTAACTAACTTAATTTGCTCTAAATAACATGCCCTAAATCTCATTTCTCATCATTTCACAGCTTCTTGCCAATGCCTCTCCTATGTCCTGTAAATGTCAACTTTCGGTTGTAGAGGTCTTGATTTCCCTTCAACACTGCTACCATAATATTGCAAAGGCAAAGTGAACTCACTAAAACTGATATGAAAACACAGCTAATGAAGTGCTAACAACCAAAAAGACCCTTTTCTATTTCAAATCATAATGTAATGGAATAGTGAGGACTCTCCAGTCCAGGTTTAATTTTTCAATCACTATAATCCTTAACGAGCAAACATATTTCTCATTAAACTCCTTTTAAACTAGAAGGGAGTTTGGTATAAGACTCTTTTTTCAGTCCACTTTTTTTTTTAATCTTTTATTATTGTTGTACTGGGGGTACATTGTGACATTTACAAAAGTTCTTACAATATATCATAGTTCAATTCACCCCCTCCATCATTCTCCTTTACCCCCTCTCCCCCAGTTCCTGGAATAGTTTCAACAGGTCTCATTTTTCCACTTTTATACATGAGTACATATTTCCACCATATTCACCATCCTACAATCTTTCTACTACATCCATTCTCCCCCTCCTCCTCCACTAGGTCCCAACCCCCAGACAGGACCTGTTTTGCTTCCTTTCTCCATTTTTGCCATGGGCATTAAATCAGTTTAGGCTACAAATCAAATTAATAAACACAAATCCTACAGAACACTACCTTAGTTAGACAGATAACAGAAGCGGAGACACTAGAATAAGGGAGATGATGAAGCTCAAACCCAGCTTATTTTTCGCCAACTGTCTGACCTTGGAAAAAATTCACTTAGACTCTCTTGTGCCTGAGTTCTTTATCTGCAAATTGGAGATGGTACTTATTAGGGCTGCTACAAGGATCAAATAAAGGTACTAGTATTTGAAGCACTGGGCACCATGTCAGACACAAAATAAGCACTGAAGATAGCTGTCACTGTAAAATAAAAACCCACAACACTGACAGCACTGCTCTTTAAACTAAGAAGCTCCTATGTATCACCGTTACAAGTGTTACTAGTCAGTGGTATAATTTTACCTCGTTCGTCCTGCAGCCAATTCTGAAAACCATGAAGGGTCTAAAGAATAAATGCCTTGTTCTCAGGGCAGTTGGAAAACCTGGGGAGAAAACGATCTGCTGCTAGGCACTGCATGTTAATAAGAGTGAAGTTTGCGATCACCGGTGGCCTAGGAGGAAGATGGGTAAATCCTGTCTTAGGGTGGGCACCCCGTGGGCAGGGCGGACAGCTCACTCGGGTGTCCGTGGCTCCCTGGGACGCCTTAGGACCCGCCGGGTACTGCTGGGCTATGCTGCGCCCAGGCCTCACCTGGACAAGCCGGGCTGGGGTCTGGGCTTGCGCGCGCGCCCGCCGCCCGGGAGGACACCCTCCGCGGCCAGCCACAGCGTCGGCCAGCGAACGTCAGCCAGAGCCCGCGCAGGCCTCCGCCCGGCCCTCACCAACCGCACCGCCCGCGACAAGACCACCTCGGACCCGCGCCGGCTCTGCGGGCCTTCGGAGCCGGCGGGGCAGGTGTCAGTGGCTCCCGCCCAGGTGCTGCCCACGGGGCCCCGGCCTAAATACCTGCGACCCAAGTAGCGGTGACAGCAGCAGCATCAGCTCCTCCCCAGCGACGGCGGCGATGGTGCAGCGGCGGTGGGCGGAGCCGGGCCGGCCACAGAGGCAGGAGGAGCCCCTCCCCCCTCCCCCCACGCTGGGCCAGAGCGGCCTCGCGTCGCGGAGAGCCGCGCGCCCCCTAAAGGTGGGAGGCCCGCATAGTCGCTCGGCCTGCTCTGAATTAGGACGCGAGATTTTCAAGCGGCAGCTGGGGAAAGAGAAAGACCCTCTAGAAGAGGTTTAGCTCATCTGAGTCAGGGAGCAGTTTACACTTCGCCTCTTTTTCTAAATATACGCCTTCTCCCCCCTGCTAAATGGAAGCTTCGAGGGCAAGGACGGTTTTTTTTAGGTGCTATAGCATTAATCAATAGTTGGAGGCTGGTAGGCAGACCTTGTGTAGAATCCAAACTGATGACGTTAGCAATAGTGACTAATGACTGATCACTCTTATTCTGAACTATGACCCTGGGTTGAATGTTAACAGCCTACTTTATAGGGTATTCTGACTTACTGTGACACGTGTACAGCCACAACGGAAAATGGGGTAGGCAGTTTACTTACTGAAACATTCTTTCATGCAAAACTTTGCTTTTAGGTTACCAACACAGGTGCTGTAGTCAGGGTGACTTCTCCTGCACAGTGGCTGTCTCTCCTCTTCACTCGAGCACAGTCACCCGACCAAGCCACCCTCTAGGATGTGTCAGGCCCACACATTCAAGGACTCAGTCTACTAGTTTGTTCTTGGTAATGTAAGGTAAATGTTTAGGATGGTGGTTGAGTGTGAGGAAATCTTTATCGTATTTCTCTCATATAAGAATATCAGGGCAAGCTGAGGATGTAGCTCACTTGCCTAGAATGAGCAACATGCCAGGTTTGATCCTCAGCACCACAAAACAAAAACTTAGAGCATTTCACATTTTCTTGTGCAGTGTCTAACCATAAATATTACTCTTCAAAGTGATGACACAATCAGTTTGTCATTGATGCCCTCCTTGTAGTCAGGTATTGAGTTTATAATATCTTTATTGATGCCAATAAACTGTGTCAAATCAGAAAGTAATTTAAATCTTTTCCTTATTGTGTTCATCCAATTCCTTCTTCCTTAGTTGGTTTATCAGATAGCTGAGAGTCCATTCATTACTTATATTTAAACTTATCTCTTCTTTTTTGTGAATTACTGCTTTGGTTCAAGCTGAAAAACTTTAGGGACTCTGAAGATAGCTTTTTTTCTCTGATGGGATTAAGGGAGTGAGCTGCAGGTTGCACATTTTTTAAATGAGTCCTTCAAATTATTACACATGGGGACTTTGATATGGTGGGCAGTGGGAGTCTTCACGGAAGCTATTCTTACACTCCAGCAATATCTGCATGGAATCGACCATGAACCAGAAGAATATATCCTACTAGGTGTAAACCAAAGAATCCCTAAAATGCAGAACCTCAAAATGCAGTAGCCACCCAGTGCTGTCACCTCTCTCCAAGTGGAGACTGAAGTCTTAATGGTGGCTAAAATATTTAATTTTTCCAAACTTTACAAAAATAGATGGTCATATGAACACACTTTCAGAGTCCCTCCCAGTGCCTTGGAAGAGCCATGTACAAGAGAGGGCTACACATTAGTTTCCTAGTGTCACTGTAACAAACTACCACACGTTTAATGACTTAAAACAATATTATCTTATAGGTCAGGAAGTCAGGAGGTGAGAAGTCCACAATGGTTTCACTGATCTAAAAATCAAGGTGTGAGCAGTGCCATGTTCCTTCTAGAGGCTCTCAGGAGACTCCTTAACTTCCCAGTTTCCAAAGGCCACCTGTGTCACCTGCTTGTGGCTCCTTCATCTTCAAAGCCAGCAACATGACTCCTTTTCTCCTGTCAGGACTCTGTTTCCAACCTTGCATCTTCTCCGACTTTTGGCTCTCCTGCCTCAAATGGAAAATCTAGAATAATCTCCACATCTCAAGATTTTAATCACACTTGCAAAGCCCCTTTACCATTCCTGGGTTCTGGGAATTAGGACATGGATATTGTTGAGGGACTTTTATCTAGGCTTATCACAAGGACCTTGAAGCTCCAACTTCATTCTCTTCAGGTAAATCTGTTTCTTTGTCTTCATCACCAAAAAGTCTGTTTGGTCCCAAGTTCTGATTGTGAGACTTCCAGTGGGGAGGGATACCTGAAATTGCAACTAGAAAAGTTACAAAGGGAAAGATGAGAGATGCCATGAGAGAAACAATTTGAGACCTAGTTTAGATAGCAGGGCAGTGATGTCTTTGAATAAGTGATATTTAATCTGAGACTCAAAGCATGAGGAGTTACTTATGGCAGTGAACAAAGGGAAGTGTTCTCAACAGATGGGACAGTATGTGTGGCCTGTGACTGCTGATGCCAGAGGGTCTCTACCATTGGTTCCTTAGCCTCATCACAAGGACTGGCACAGAGTATATGCCCAGGAATGTTATCTTAGGTGTTTCTCAATCCTGACAGCCCATGTCAGTCACCACTAGCTTTAAAAATACCAGTGCCTAGTGCAGACCAACTCAGAATTGTTCAGAAGCAGGGTTTCTGTGTTTTTTAAAACTGCTCAGAAAATTCTACCTTGCAGCCAGGGCTCAGTTGATGCAACTGAGTGGGTGCATGAACAGAGGAAAGAAAATGCTTTCTCAGCGCAGGATTTTCACCTGGGCAGTTTTCTTCTTATTAGGGAAAAGATGGGTTTTGACTATACCTTTGAGATCCTGTACAGTTTTAGAAAATGCAGAAGACTGTCAAAGCCATTATAATTGAAGACTTAGCAGAAGAGGCTCAAAGCAATCTAGCATACATCCAGGTATAACTATCAGGAAAGATATGTGGTAGAATGGGAGGTTTCAAAACACATTGTACCTGAAAAGTAAGAGACATTTCTTCTTTTTGAGCTTTTGCTTCCATGTCCCGACGCGCATTTTATTTCCCTGTGGTGGTAGGGAATGACCACCAGAGGGAGACATATTCCTGAAAACCATAGCTCTCCCTCTTCCTTCTTTCCCACCAGGCTAGTGTGAATCAGGTGTTGTCTGGGTTCTCAAGCATAATCATTGAAAGAGTAATTCACTGGTATGAGAAAAGTAGCACATATTTGTCTATGCCAGGGTTAATTCATTTCAGTTCCCAATAGTTTAAAACATCTAAACTGAGAGGAAGAAAATGAAGTAGGTTTGAAACCTAGAAGAAAAATATTTTCCTCCAGCAACTAGAAAATGTTCATGCAAAACTTTCAGAACGGGAGTTCTCTCCCTTTGTTAATTGCAAAGTAAACATTTTAGATCTTAAATTGTTGGAGTTACTAAGATAACAACAGTTGGAACCCTGGGACCAGAAAAAAAACAGCTTGACTGCTTGCTGCAGCACCCCTCTGTACACACCCACACATGCTAGAACCACACAGATTTTCACACACACATGAAATAATGCATTTGTCAGGAACGTGTAGAGTGACTCGCTTCAATTGACCCCCATGCCCCAAAAAGCTAAGTCACTGATCTGTAGTAAGGAGATACCTTTTGCAAAGGTCTCGGCAGACGCTGTGCAAGTCCTTCAAAGGTGGCTGGTGACATGCTGGGTTCGGTCAGCGGGGCAGAACTACCTTGCACACTGTGGGATAAAGGATTTGTTACAGGAATTCCATCTTACACGATTGTGCCAGGAGTCCAGATGTGAAGGTTTGGAAGGGAGTGTTAGAGGAACAGGTAAGTCACAAACTAGTCTGTCTGGGGATTTGGGAAGCCAAGTCCGGCTCAGCCCCCTCTGAAGTGGGAGCTGTTCTTTCTGTAGTTCCTGCCTCTGAGGGTGCTCCACCATGTGTCTGCTGGTGGACCTAGTCAAGAAGAGCTGGGGTGGGGGGTGGGGGTTGAGGACAAGCTGGAAAGTACTCAGCAGCTCTGCATCTTCATGTCACTTGATCTGATTGTGAAAAGACCTTCAGAGGGTAATGCCCCTTCCCTCAGGCTGTCTCCCAACTTTCATGCAAGGTCTTTTTTGGGTCTTTTTAAAAAACTAGAGCCATGCAGGAAAGGGGATTCTGGGAAATGTAGTTCCCAGTGTAGCCAAGCTGACAAAACAGAGCAGAACAAGTAATCCAGGACGTAAATATTCTTACAACTAAAAACTCACATGAATAACTAAAGGCAGAGCAAGTTTAGAATTCAGGTCAGGAGGTTAGTGAGCGCTAAAAGGAACCATCTTGTACTTCGCTGTCATGCCTCTCATCTTTAAGTTCCATCTTTTGTGGAACTTAAACACTGTTTAGGATTTCAAGCAGAAATTATAGAAACATTTTACACATCACTTGTGAGTTATTTTCCTGGGCTAAGAGTAGTCTGTGTGCCTTCATTACATATATACTAGACAACCTTGATTCTGCCGTCTCTGGTGCTGAGTTACAGGGGCTCTTTGGTGAGGAGTTATGTCCATTCCCAGCAGGCCTCATAACTGAACAGTGAGATAGATGCGATTGGTCATCTGAAGTACAATGTCACTTGGATTGTAGGATACATGAGAACTTGGAGCCAAAGCTCCTAAGAAAAGATCTCCCTAAGAACATTGTTGCATAGCATCGAAATGTCAATAAAAACTCTTCTAAGTGCATAAGAAATGATATTTAGTCATTTATTTTATTCTTCACAACATCCTCCAGAAACTCTGAAGTTCTATAGGCTTCTAAATTTTCTGAAAAGTAGGCAAAAGGCGACAGGTGATAATATCAGAAAAGCTCCTGGTCCAGGCCGCTCTTGTCTTTTTCTCCATTTCTTTCTGGCCCCATGTTTCCTTTCTAACCCTCTAATCATCTCCCTCCCGCCTCCTGCTAGTACAGGGCTTATTAAGTCTGGGCACAGGAAAGGCTAAGGGGTCATAGTGGTCCCTAAAAGCCTGAGAATGTCTGCTCAGCCCAGATAATGAGCAGCTTACAAGACGCCAGTCATCTGTGTTGTGAGAGGGTTCACTTCAGCACCAGCACAGAACTCAGCTCACCCCAGGGACTCCAACTGAACTGAAAATTTAGGCTTACAGGA